CTTAGAGTACACGTTGGCTAGTCCAAAAGTCATTTGTATCAGATGGTGAATAGGATCTCTTGTGCGGCATTTGTTTTTTTCTGATGTATGCTTTAGAACCCTGCTAAGCAGGTATGGTTTCATCCATGTCTAAGCAACCTCGCTTCAGCTGGTCTGCATGCGTGAGAAGATCATTTGAGTCAACCGATTGTCTTGTTGATAGCCTCCATGTTTTGCAAAAGGAATTTGTCATATCCTGAACCGGCAGCGCCTGGCAGCAAAAGACCACAGACCCCCAAGAGAAAGCATACCGTGGATGGTTGCGAAGTCCATTTCGCACCACCGCTCAGAATTTCTGGAACGAGTTGATTCCCCAGTAAACACCAACAAACAATGGCTTCCACCGTGGTTGCCAAGTGGTGTGAATTGGATTTCGCAACCATCCAAGGTATTCTTCATATGGCTGTGGGTCAAAAGTATGTACCCAAAATGGAATCCTGGCAATGGAAACGTGGACTAAAACCTGGGATCCCCTTGGTGTTTAATCTTGACCCAGACCCATATTGTCTCACCAAAATCTGCTGAGACGGCCAGGTGGGCCACATACACTTAGAGGCAGCCGGCGGAGAAGGCGGGGGAAAACCCGCACACCGCCAGAGCTGGTCCCTTCGGACAGAGTGAAGCCTTCTCAACAAGGTCGTCTGCCAAATGTTGGGTCCCAGCAAATCATCCGGCTCCTTGGGTTTGAGGGGCAAGGTTACGGGTTTGGTGTGGTTTCCGTTTACCCCACTAAAAGTTAAGCTGTTAAGCAAGGCATCTGAGGACAGCCCAGTTCGAGAGTCAGGGTCCCGTTTTGCAAAAGCGCCGACATTCGGAGGGTGGAACCCACTTCTTTGCAAGCAAAGTCTATCGATCTTCATTTTTTCGGGCATGTTGGACATCGACGTGCCGAGCTTGCTGAACTTGTCAATATACCATGCGTGGTGGAAAGAACCCCTGCCGCCAAACGGTCAACAAGGCGTGGACGCTGCAGTGTACAAGGCCGCGCTGCAGGACGTCCGCAGGCTGCTCCAGGCCGGGCTTGCCATCGATCCCCTTGCCTACGGTCTATCCACATCCTTGCCCAGCTTACTGGTTGAGCCCAACTTCAAGCTTTGTGTTTGCTTTTTTTTATACTTTCACTTGGTGGTTATCAGCCACCCCCTTAGGTTTCTAGGTGTTAAGTTTAGTGGGGCCTTATTTTGAACCCCCAAAAGAGTTAAACTCTTAAGGATTGCCCACCTCAGTGAGGCCCAAGGTTGACAGTTTCATTGGCCAGCCAACCCAAGCGGCCTGGGGCCAAACAACCCGAAACAAACAAGTTTTACAGTGGGAAGTCATTCCTGGCCTTTCATCGAATACCTGCATTTGAAAAATATGCCAAAAAGAAACAAAAAGCGGATGGATCACTTCTGGCATCCAGAGTTTTGTTCCAGAAGCGGAAAACACGGAACCCAAAAAGGAATGCCAATTGCAGACTCCTGTACAAGCGATTTACAGTTGTCTTTTGTGTTCAGTGTTATTCTGCCAGGAAATAGTCTATTTGGCATTGTTTTGTCAAGGATACGGCCACCCAAGAAACCCTGAATGATGATTTCCCTGTACATGCAAACAACCAATGGCTTCCCATGATCTCTTAGCTGGTGCAGGACTTCATTCATCCACAGTAGGGAAGGGCAAAATAGATGGATTGCACCATTGAGGATTGGCTCCATCACCTTGCAACTTGCGAAAGAACATGCAACGCGTTGTTTCACGCCCGCATCAGCGGGAGACCTTTAGCTGGGGCGACCTCTGACATGTTTGTGTGTCTCTGTGTGTGTGGGTGTGTGTTTGTTGGGTTTTCTTTGTGAACAACCCAAATGAACACAACTCCCCCCGGCGCTCGTGGACTCCACACTTCTCGGGAATCCAATTCTACTGGCATTCAAAAAGTTTGGACTTCTTTTTTCCGGTCCACTCGTTCGGAATTGAGAACAAAACAGCAAGAATACGCAAACCAAAATTTGACGAGAGCAACTTTTCCCGCCGCTTTTGTCTCCCAGGAGTCGCTCCCTGCGGAGGCAGTGCTAGCGGGAGTTACGTGGGCCCACGGCTGAGCTACCGACTTCTGAGCTCTCCGAAAGCGGGAAGAGTTCACTTAAGGCCTAGGCCTTTGGGAGGATCCTCGAGTTCTCAGACATGGGTTTTGGAGAATATGCAATAATAGATATATATATATAATATATATATATATTATAACTCGCTTCCCTGAACTTTCCGGACTTTGCACTTGTTTGAGCAGTTTTAGTGGTAAATGAAAAAGGTTGGGCTTGTGTTGTTGGATCCACTCAGGCAGCCTGAGAGAATAGTTCGGTCAGTCAGGTTCCGGAGGGAAGCCTGAGAGACACCAGAGGGAACCCGTAAAAGTGTAGCTGCCTGCCTGACCGCCAGCCGTTCCTTTCTGGTTCAGAGATCAAAGCTTAGCATCTGCCCGACAAACGGGCTAAGGTGATAAGCAGAGGGATGGTACATTCTGACTGACCCCAAACTGCACACTGCAAGAGTCCAACAGAAACCGAAATACGTTTGACGGTCTCGAGATGTGTGTGTGTGTGCGCGCGCGTGCGCGGGTGCGCGCCTGCGCGCGTGCGTGTGCGTGTGCGCGTGCCTGTGCCTGTGCCTGTGCCTGTGCCTGTGCGTGTGGGTGTGGGTGTGGGTGTGCGTGTGCGCGTGCGCGTGTGCGTGCGCGTGGGCGTGGGCGTGGGCGTGGGCGGGTGCGTGTGCGTGTGCGAGTGCGTTCGCGTTCGCGTGTGCGTGCGCGTGTGCGTGTGCGTGTGCGTGCGCGCTTGCTTTTTTGGGCCAGTTTGGCGCAGTTGGCGCCACCGTCCGCGAGAATACCAACAGAAAGCTACAATCAGACACCTGCCGAGTTGTCCCTGTCAATTCAGTTGTTGACCTTTTGTTTTCCCATCTTGGTCCATTTTTAGTCGCGCCCAAAGTTTAACCTTTATTTCTGGGTCATTTGGGCAACTCAGTAAATCAACTACCCTCCTGTCCACTAATGTTCCTGGCAGACAACTCTCCTTTGGCATGGACCCTTTGGTGGCTTCCATGTTAGGAGAGTGCCCTTTTTTTGCCATGGCCCCAAAATCGATGGCTTCCAAGTACTTCCACCAAGTGCCTCTTTTCGAACGGAACGTTCTTCCATCCACTCGTTCGGAAGTGAGTATTGGAAGTGCTTCTGTGTTCTTCCAAGGGGATTTAAGCAGATGGAAGGACTGGTTTTTTAGGTTCAACCCACTTCAGAGCCAGGCTGTTCATTTCCCATTTCTTCCCAATCCACTGGTTTCAATGGGCTTATTGATGGAGCCAGGGGGCCTAAGCTAAAAGATCAAGTCGGCTCAGGCCAAAGCTTGCCCCCAGCCGAGCGGGCGCATGGCCGAAGTGGCCATCGTCGGCACCAACTCCGCGCTGGAGCCCCGAATGAGACGTTGAGGTCTCCACATGTTGGGCGCCCCAAGCCGGTTTCCTTGAGAACCTGTCCGAAAATATTGAAAACCGATCAACATAATTTCAGACACCATCAAAGCTAGATGTTTGAAGTCAACAACTCAGCATGATTGTTGGAAATAGGTGTTTGAAGGCCCGACTTGCTGTCATACCAAGGGGACCTCTTTCAAAGTGACACAGCAGCCATGGAAATGTCCCAACTGAAAGATCTTCCACAGCCATGTTATAAGTAGGAGGTATCCAGATACTTGGGTAGACGATAACCCTCATGCAGCTGGACTTGTGGTTTCATGCTCTTTGTGACGACGGTTGTCCCAGTAAACGAGGGATCCTTATAAAGCGTACATACAACAACCAGTTGTTTTTACATGGGAATCCCCTGCCTTTCCAGACGGCGCCGTCCGTGTCACTCAAGTTGGATGCCTTTTGAGCTCGGGGTGTCGGGCGCGTCTTTTGTTCGATGCCGGCAGCTTGACATTACCTAATGCATTTGGGAGGGGCAGGGGACTCACTCGGTGTCCCACAAAATCCATGACTCACTCGTGTTTGTTTTTAGGGGGGTGGCTCCTAAGCCTCCCTAAGGATCCCTAAGGATCTCTCTACCCACCCCCTTTGTAACTACCCGCCTTAGAGATTCATCAAGTTTCCCTTTGCCTGAACCGCTGATTTTGACTGTTGCTCATGCGCCGCTTGTCACGCCAGTCGACTGTGCCTGCCGACGCCGTTTTCAGCTTCATCCTATCCGAGAACTAACCTATCGACGTGCGAATGAGCCTTCGCAGACATCTTACATAAGCTACGACGCTGGGCCGCACATCGGGTGTCATTCGATTTGGAGCCATACCCAGGGTATAATTATTGTTGCAGTCCAGTGACGATTTCTCACCAATACTCACTTACTGGGTTCCTGGACTTTAGGCACGTTTTTTTTTGTTGGTTTGGGCCATTCAAGTTGTAGACAAAGAAGATGGTTTTTCCAATCAACCTCGCAAAAACGCAGTAAACAAAGAAGGTCGTTTTTCCCCCATCTAACTTGTAAACAAAACAAATTAGGATCTGTTGGCCAATCTGCTCGTTCAGCAGTGAGAATGGCGATTTTCTGGGTCCAATTGTTGGAAGACTTTTCCGGCACGACCTTCCTGCGGCACCCGCTTTTGGCTCTAACTCGAAACAAGAGCGCCAGGAACGCATCCGGAAAGTGACAGACTGCGACTCTTTTGCGCAATCAGACCAACTGGAAGCTGCTCATTTTGGGGAAGAATCCGGGCGATTTATTGCAAGACAGTCGGAGGTGTTGAGCCGCCTTTGGTGATCTGAATGTGTTTAACTGGTACACCCCCCAATTCTAATTCTGAGGCTTATCTCCCATGAAAAGCCGAAAGGTTGTAAACCGAGTCTGCCCCGGCAAGCCCAAGAGGAGTTGTTTCCTTCCCATTTACCGCGGAACCCATTGGGGGTTTATGTGTCGCCGGGCCAAGCTGAGGCACCCAATGGCTGCCTCACCAACCTCTGAGGAGAAGTTATCCCGCATGGTTGTAGATATGGGTGAACCCTGCCTAGAGGAGTTGGCTGTGGCTCAAAAACCGGTACCAAAATGGAAGCCTGGTAAGTGGAAACATGGACCGAAACCTGCGTAACCCCTCCTGTTTAATTTTGAGCCACACCCAGTTGAATGGGATACACCGGCCACTATTTAAAAGCCAGACCCACTGCCTGGACCGACTGGCCCACGTTGTTTTTTTGCAGAAAAGGGTGGTTTCCCTCTGGCGTCCCCTTATGAATAACCCAAAACAAGGATACCAACTCACATCTGCCTTCATGAGCAGCAAAGCTGGAGGGTGTACATGTTGAAGGTGCTGTTTCGATGCATTCCGACGCGCAGAAACAACTGCAATATTTTCAGCCAGCCGCACACCTCTGGTTGCTTCATCTATCATTGGTTGCAGGGCATTCCCCCTTGGGAAAGGATCTTTCCCCCCTGGGGACTATGTCACTGAGCAATGTGAAGACCTCAAGATGACCTCAGATGATGAACTGCACATCCATGTACCCTCTCGCTCAGGGACCTTCAAGGGAGGATGTTTTTTGGGGGGAAGGCTATCCCTGGAGTGGGAGCCCCCCAACAAATAAATTGGAACCCTTCCCTACATGTTCCCTTTGAGTTGCTTCAATGCCAGCCAGTCCTTTGAAGTGAGTTGCTCCCTAAAGAGGCATCCGATCATTTCCTCTTGAAATGTTGCTTGGTATATCCCCATCAATTTCGGCTCTCGAATTTCCTTTCGGTTGGCGAAGGTCGGACAAATAATGCTAAATGAGTGTTCGGTCACTTGATTCCTTGCTTCGGACTAGGTTTCACACATGCTGGCATGTCTTCAAATTTGGGCGTCCCCTCAAATGGGCACTTTTCTGTGCAGATTCTCTGAAAGCCCAAAACTTGCCCTCCGAATGATCGTTTGAAGCGAAACCAGCCCTCAAAGTAATTGCGTGACTGTTCTGCAAAAAGACCATTTGTTGCTGCCACACCAAGCTTTGGCAAGATGTTGAGAACTAAGCATGCGACCACTACAAAGGGCCCACTCACGCGAGACAGCGTGCAGGACAAGAAGCCAACTTTGGGCGAAGTCATCGAGAGCATCGGCATCGGCCCGGCTCAGCGTTTCGGCAAACACAAATCCGCCGAGCGCATGTTGCGACCCGCGCCCACAGAACAAGCGCTCCGGAGATTCACGTGGAACCCCGAGGACCGTCCTCCAAAAGGTTCCCCTTGAAACACAGTTGTTGTTTGGCTTCCGTGCTTGTGGGGAGTGTAAAGGTTTGGGACCTCAAAACGGTTGTGAAACAACTTGGCCTCAAGGCGAGAATTTGTTTCAGGTGTTGCATATGTTACTATCAGTTCGGGCATTATTGTTGCTTACCTCGATAAAACCCAAAGGTCCGTTTCTCAAAAGGCAGTTCCCACACGTGATTTGTTGTTTGTTGGGAGGAGGTGCATGTCAATTTGCGAGGGAGTAAAGCCGCATGGCTTTGCCGGCAGCAATTGGCTTCCAAGTATCCCAGGATCTTATCGCGGCCCTAGGCTGAGGCAGCAGGTGCTACATTCATGCGAGAATCTCGCGAGTTCATCCCTCAGCCAGCTTTCCAGGTGCGATTCCCTGAGTTTTTGGTCGCAAAATTCTAGATGCTCAGAAATAAATACACGCATTATTCCAGGTAATTTGGTTCAATAGCCCACTCCGTTCGAAGAACATGTCGCCCTATTACGGTTTGGGAGAGCCAGTCCGAAGGATTGTTCGTCGGACGGATCTCGCCTAGTCTCTCAAGAAACCCTAGCATGTTCCGTTGCATCACCGTGCGTTGCTTGATTCCCACAAGGCTTGTGCCCCTGTTGCAGGTCCAGAGCAAAGCAAAAAAGCAACAAAGCCATCACTGGATGGGATGGATGGAACCCAACCTGTTGCAGGTCCAGAGCAAAGCAAAAAAGCAACAAAGCCATCACTGGATGGGATGGATGGAACCCAACAGATGCTGGGATAAACCACCTACCCACAGTGCCTGAGAAGCGTGCCAAAAGCTGATTGTGAGATGCCGAAGCCCATTTTGGCCAGACGGCCGGCATATAAATTTTCACTGCGGACCCTCGGACATCATCTGGGATTCATGTCAACCAAACACTTCTGAGGTGATTCCGTGATTTCCCCGCAATCATCATAATCCTTTCAGCTTGCTGTAAAGCCACCCTCCCTCCCACGAACATAGCACCTTGGATCTCTGGAACCCCTTTTCAGGTGCCCTCCAGGTGCCATAGACTAACTTGAGTTCCGGTTTTGTGCACCATAAGTTTCGTTCAATGAGCTCAACTCTGAGAAAACGTCGCCTAAATTAAACTTTTGACTCGTTCGGAAGGCATGGTGGATGCCATCTCAATATTGCAAGCAGAGAACGACTTGGACACCCAAAGTCAATTCTCCACCTATGGTTTCTGGTTGAAAACTTAATGTCAATGGTCCTTGGTAAAAATTGAGCGTGGTTTGTGGCTTTGAACTTTTGACCACCTATTGTTTCTGGTTACTTCCTCCTTTTTTTTCTCCATGCACGTGGCTTGTGGGTTGGTTTGCCTAAGATTTCCGGGGGGTTCCGCTGGAGGTTCCGGGCCGGACTCCTGGGCGGCGGCGTGTGGCTGGCGGATGGCGCAGAGCTCTTACTCATCGGCAGCGCCGGGGAGCCGAGCCGAGAGGGAGGGGAGGGATCGCGGCGGCGGAAATGGAAACAGTTTTTTTTTTTTTTTGTCTTGGTGGTTTTTCCTCTCTCTTTTTTTACGTTTGTTTTTTGTTCTTTGGCCTGGGGAAAGAAGTCAACACGCTCTTATAGAATGAACATGCGTTTTCCATTTGCTTGAGTCGCAGAAGTTGGCAAGGCTAGGTCTAGGAAAGGTGTAAGCTATGCCATTCTTTTACAAACCATTCTTGAGTCGCTGTGGGGAAAAAAGACAACATGTATGGAATGTTATAGGGTCCCTCTAAAACCCACAGTTTGTTTTAATAATATTTGGGTCTTGAGGTAGGGAACCAAGGGAAGAGAAGGGGTGACATCACGCCCAAAATGGTTGATTGGGGGGAGTCTCCACATAGAGTTTCCTTGGTAGTTCCCAGCCGTCCGGTTCCTTAGGAATTTAGTTGCTTTTAGTTGGTTTAAAGGGGGGGCGTCCATTTAACCCACTAAGAGTTAAACTTTGGGCGGGGAATCTGACGTTATTTTCCCCTGTTGCTTTTAAGGGGAATCCATCACTACATGTTGTTTTCTTCTCCCAGGGGCCTTAATGGGTGTGGCAAAAGTAGGTACCCAAAATAGACAGGTAAATGGAAGGGACTAAATTACCTGGGGTCTTGTGGTTGAATTTTGACCCATGACTCCAGTTGGGATGGATGAAGCTGGTTGACAAGTCAACCAGCTAGCAACAAGTGGATGTTGTCAACGGATTTCCCAGCCCTCCCCTCCCCGACAATTCCCCTCTGCCTCCGTGGGAGGGGAGCGCAAAAATCGCAAACTCACCCTACAGCACTTCCCCCGTAGATGAAGGATCGCCTCAACCCACAAATGGCTGTGGCTCAAAAAATTGTACCGAAATACCACCTTTGGTAAGTGCCGCCAAAGACTAAAACCCGCATAACCCTATAGCGCTTTTATTTTGAGCCACACCCAAATGGACACGGATGAACAACTTCGGGTTGAGCTGAGCGCACCGGGGCTCTTTTTGAGGAAAGTTGCTTTAGCCCTACTGTGAAGTTCCATCTCAGAGAGGATGCTTCACTTTTGGGGCAAAAAAAGCCCAAAAGCCCCCCCCTAACTCTGCCGGGTTGATTCATCCGAGGTGAGCATTGTCAGTGACCCTCCCGCTCCGACTGTTTGGCCTTTTATAGCCTGGCTTCTCTCTGCGCGAGCCAAGAACTCGGAGTAGGGAGGCTGGTAGGGTAGGGTCCCTGAATCTAAAACTGGCCCTTTTGATCTCGTGCCAAAGTGCGTTATAGGTTTGTTTCTGCCATGCGGCTGGGTTTGACAAGGCGCCTAGTTGAACTTGTGGGGAAACCGCCCCTTTGCAAAGCGGAAGCCGCGTTCGGAGCCGAGATCGGAACTGCTGAGGTGGCAGACACTCTGGCGCGTGAGTGGCACTTGTCATCGTTTACCAAGGGCTTTGTCGCGCTTCGGCACGCGACGGTGTGGGGGGGGGGGGGTTTCGGGGGGAGGGGCAAGGCCTCCAGTGGAAAAGGGCACCCCTTTGTTGATGGCTGGGTGGCGCGTCTTTTTTGTGGTACTCTTTTTGGGTTGGTTTAAAGGGAAACTAAGAAGAACGCCATCATTGTGGGGGGGCTAGAAGAAGACACACCCAGCAAAAGGCTGGGGTTCCTGCATTTTCCGTTTTGGGACCTCAAGTGCCGATCGTTCCAACGGCAACCAGTCAATCGACCACCTTGTGATTTGGGGAAATCCAGACCCCTGTTGTTTTGTGTTTGATCGCTGGCTGTGGAGGGAAGCCCCTTCGAACACCGTGGATGTTTGGCACCCCTTTGGACGCCCGCAAATTCAGCACCCAACAGCCCCGGAACCTTCAAACCGCTCTGAATCTTTCAGCTTTTGGGGCAAACGGCGTTTTCTGCCAAATGTGGGTTTGTAAGCCAACTAATCAAGGGGCACTTCCCTTTTTTTAGGTGCCTTTTAGGTGCTCGTTGAATCTTCTGGGTTGCACAAGGCATCCAACTTGGCATGCAGATCTTAAGAAGGCTTTCATGTGGCCCCCGAGCCCCTGGCCCCAGCGTGCTTTTGTGTGCAGAGGCAAGTTCTCATACACCACCGCAAACTGCTTCCACGATGTTTCACATGGCTGCGGAAAACCGTGTGTTTAGGAAGAACTTCTTTGTGATACCGCTGGACCCCCCTTGAAGCGAACAAGCAGCCATGAGGTGGGCCAACTTACTTTACAGCTTGGTCTCGAAGGCTTTGATTCATGTTTGTTTATCAGGCATGCGGGCTTGGTCGAGAAATTTTGGACTCATTTTGGGTAGGTGCTGTGTGCTTTTGCGTGTGTGCTCTTGGTCCGCGGGTGTGTGTGTGTGTGTGTGTGGGGAAATAGGGCGACCCCCGCAAAAACGGGTGGTTTTCTTTTGGTTTCCCTTTCAGCTTGTAAAACCAAGCTGAAAAGGGTACCCTCAAAACCACACACATTTAGATTCAAAGGCGAAAGGCTATGATTGTATTTCTTTGTGTATTTTATTTCACAGCCCAATCGGTAGCAAGGAACTTGTTAAGCATGGCAACGTCTCCACTCCGTGAATGAATCCCTCTTCCAGAAGCCACTTCATTTGCAAGGAGAATGCATGACCTATGACAAAGCAACGGTTAAACAACATGAAAAAAGATTCATCTTGTAGAAGAAGAGGTTGACCCCCCTTCTGGGTATGTAGTGAGTGTATGTGTCAAGTCCCGTAGAAGTCACGGCACCGCCTTGCAAGTAGCTGCATTGCGTGAGCTCCATTGCATTGTCACAACGCCAGGCGATACGCTGCATGAAGTCATTCGCATGACCACGCAAGTGCAAAATCATTTCATTGCCAGTGGTGTATCCAGTTGGGCACTGCGTGGTTGTACAAACTACACCAACTTGTACTGCAAAGAGCAGCACGCCGCCTGCAAGGACTGCCTGCTTGGACATGTTCAAGGGAGTCTTCGCAAGCACCGCTGGCCTTTAGCAAGTGGGCATGCCGGCCTTCGCCCGGTGCACCAGGATGCCCGGAGATTTCGCCAGGGTCGTTGTTCCACCTGCGTCGGACGTTTTTCGCCACACCCACTGCTGTAGCCGCACGTCTACGGTGAAGCCCGGCGCCGGGTTAGTCGCAACTGGGACAAGGCAGGAATAAGCAGCTAGCTGTTTGATGTCCGGCCATCGAAGCCACCACCCCATCGTGCAACTGCGACTGATGGGGCCAGAAGCATGTTGGTCGCTCCCTGCCAAAGTGTCATCGTTCGGCACGCGCTTTGCGGAGTTGCTAGTTGGTTCCCAACATGCGGAGCAGAGCCGAAGCCAACGCCATGGACCCGGTTTGTGTGCGGACCACCACCTCTGCGTCCGGCAAGAGCTCCCGGAGTCCCGGGGGAGGTCGTTTTCCCAAAGCGTGGCAGCCGCCCAGCGCCTGGGGCTTGTCGATGACGGTGTTTCGGTCAAGCCGAGCGTCGCATGCGGTGCACCTCCGCCCAACGCTGCCGGGGGAGACTCTTGACAGGGGAACCAATCCAAACTGAAATGAACCCATTGACACAAACGCCTTAGGTCACCATTGTCTACACCGGCCTGATGTTCGGCAATATTACTAGCGGACCCGCTGGTGCGCGATTCGGGCGACGAGAGGTGGTGGTACTTTCCTTCTTTGGACGCTTGTTTGCAAATTTTGACTGAGTCCTACAGTGTCTGGGCGTGGAACAAGGGCCAATCTGGGTTTTCAATGACAAGATGAAAGGGGTTCAAACTCCAAATCTGGGTGACTTGAAAGCATACCGGCAGTTTGATGGTTCAGCAAATTGGAGTCCGGTTTTAGCTCCAAACCTTTTGGAGGTGCAGTCAGCGGATTTGGGATGTTTTCCTAGGATGGTTATGAAACCAATCAAGTGCAGAGGTCCAATTTTTGGACGCCCCTGCCTTGCACATCCATCAGGCGTTTGCCAGGGTTCCAACCCCAGTTCTCCTTCACAGTGGTTTGAAGCTTCTTGATTGCCAGGAAAAAGGTAGTTTGGTTCTGGCCCTGGGTGATGCAGGCTTCCTTTGGAGCATTTGGTTCTGCAAGGGTGCAGGCATTGCTTAGTCGAGTTCCAAAAAGGTCGTTGCTTTGCCAGGTTTGGTCAAGAAACTGTTGTTGCCGGCCTCCTTCTCAAGGGACATGAATATGGGTGTGGCTCATTTGTAAAGGACCTACAGCATTGCGGATTGTGTTTTTCCCACCGTACCCGGTGTACCCAATTGCCGAGCCACGGCTATTTACAGGTTCGTCTCCGGATTTGGACCCCAAGTGAATGCTCGAGTTTCTGCTTTCCCTGCGTCTTCCTGTGTGAACAAACCTGAAAAGGGTACGGTGGTTCCCGTGTCATATTGCAAGCATGGTAGATCGGGGCCGGGGGGCAAACGCCAACCTCGGGCCGCGCCTCAGGGATCTTCGTGTTCAGCATCTTCTCGTCGACCTCCCAGAGTATCACAGACGCTTGGCCGTTGCTTTTTCTCGCCTGTTGGCGAGGAGGTGTTGCGAGGCTCCATATTTTCAAGCTACTCAACGATTCATGTTGACTCCAGATGAATCAACTCCAGTGTATTAACGGGGGAGTGTTTTCTTCAAAAGTGATGAATCCCCACTAAACCGAGGGACTAGGGGTCAACATTATTGGTAGCTTGGATTGGCGGCTTGCAGATTTGAAGCCCTTTGTAGAGGACCCCTAGCCCCCAAACCATCGATCGAAACCACCAATTGGAGGAAAGCTCAAAAATTGTCTGTCATCTTCGGTAGTAAACTAACTGATGTAGGGCGCGCTCCTCAAAATACCCTCAAAATACTTCCTGGTGTAAGAAGGCTTTTGCCAATTATTGTCGGACAGAGGGTACTGTTGAGATGAGGGGAACATGGATATACCAATCTTCCATGTCAGTTGAGGGGTACAATGATATATTGTCCACGCATTTCTCGTTTACGAATGTCAGCCCTACACTGGATTGCGTATCTCTTGCAAGCGAGCAACGCACATTCAACCACAAAGTTTTCACGCCCGCATCAGTTTTTGAGAGCAACATCATCATTGGCTTGACCCCCAGTGGTTTCCAGATGTGGGTGTGGGTCATATTTTCCCCCACCAGGCGACCGCAGATTTAAGTCCTTGTTTCCATTTGGCAGGGAACGCCATTTTGAGGTTACCCGATCTTGACCCACCAGGTCCAAGTGATGCTGGTGATGCTGGGAATGTTGCCAACCCTGCGCAAAACCAGCCCTAGGAAAAAACCAGCCCTAATTTAAAACAAGAAAACAAAACACCGTTTCCCAGCCCACCAGCCCAATTTTGAAGAAAAACAACACCGTTTATATACCCCTATGCGCGGATTTGCGGGATCTGTTTCGAACAAAGTGAAATTGATCCATCTCCGAGGTGCTCATGATCTGGCGCTTCATCGTCGGCTGGAGCATCGGCTTTGGGCAGCCTGCGTGGCTGGCCATCAGCGCCTTGCGTGGCTGGAGCAGCCTGGGGCTTCCTGTGGACGAAATCCAGAAACCGCACCTAAGGAAGCCATGGAGAGCCATTTGTTAGTTGGTATATTGTTAGTCTTTTTGGGTGAATCGAATCATTCCTAGGTTTCTTAGGGCAAGATTTTGTCCATCCACATGGTGGAAACCATTGTGCATTGGTATTTGCAGGGGGATCGAATCATTGCGTTGGGTTTCTTAGGTGCGAAATGGATTTCGCAACCATCCACAGTCTCACTCCTCAATTTGGACTTCAGTCACTGGGAGTGCATCCAACACCTGAAGGTGGGTTGTGTTGCTACGCCTTCTCTATTGGTCAGTGACGTTTGGGGTTTGGACCATGTTAATGCAACGTGGACACCAAGAGTGAGCCAGAAGGCTGTCTCTTGTCACTATTGCCACACTGGTGGCTCATTTTGTCAACTTCTGGGTGACTTTCAAAATGAAACCACAAAAGAACATACCCACACAACTCAAAGGACAAAGTCAGACCCAAGTCGCACTTAACCCTCTGATCCAGGATGAACCTTTTGGGGGGGGGTTCATGGGCCCAAGCCCATTTGCCTCATATTGAGCGAATCCTTTTGGCTGGGTTGTTCGTTTGGCAGTGGCTTCCCAACTTGTAGTGGTACCCAACTACGGGCTTGTGAATGACATCAACGATGCAGTAAACACATGTATGTTCTACTATTTATATGATCTACTGTTTGTATGCACTACATGTAACTCCATGTTGGTTAGCCCAATGCATAACTGATAATTGGTATTACTCTCACATATTGTTTGACACTACAAGAGTTAAACTAAACACATGTTGCCGTCAAGTGCATATTAATCTATTATATATATATATATATCTCTTACGGCCACTTCAACACGTATTTGATTGGCGCGTATGTATATTTGGCATCTCGGAAACATGATAATGTGGCAGTATGTGTTATTTCTTTTTAACAACCTGTTTGATTTGGCACAACCGGAAAAGGAGCCAACAAAATTCACTCCGCCAGCCGAGAACCACCCGCGTCAATGAGTCCTTTTTTCCTGCCGAGGTGCGGAGATCACCCCCGCAAAGTACCGGATCATCACGGGGGGGTTGACGCAGACTCTCTTCGCCCTGGGCGCTCCTCGGCGAAATCCATCCGAAATCGAGCGCTCGCGAGAATCAAATCGCTCACCGGGCAAAAGCGATGCCGTTGAATTTCTTGGAACTCTCTGGGAGGTCCTCAACATACGTTTTTTGGAAGGCCATGCTGAGTGGTAACGAAACACATCGATTGGTTTGGAAGTGAGAATCCGTTTAGTGTTTGGTGGATTCAAAAGAACCTGAGACAATGGGTTGCTCCTAAGTCCGTGTGTGGCGGCCCTTCTTTCTACCGATGGGGTGGCTGAACAACTGGGCCTCTTTTGCAGTTCGGAAGGGGGGGGGGGTATTTTCTGAAACGACCTAGGTTTTCCACGCTAAATACCTCCTTTAGTCCGGGATTGACAGCAGACCCTGCCACATGGCCTTTTTTACCCCAAGGGTTCCATTTCCCAGTATGGTAGATAGCCAAGGGAAATTTCATTAAAGACCACAAGGACAATCGTTGCTAGCTAATCTGCGCTGGTTTTTCTCTGTTTTGATCCACATGGGGATTGATCTGGGAATCCACACAAGTAAAATAAAGAACATAGATCAAACTCATATTAGCAAAACACAATATCTAGGTTCTTTGTTCTCTATTTTGTGTGGCGTTTGATCCCCTGGAGATTTGCTTGCCCGGGATCTCGTTGAAGTTCCCCGGCCTAGGAGCTGTACAGCGCGAGCCTCTTGATGCTGGACGACCCATCCTTGCAGAAATTGGATTGGCGGAGGGTCATCGCCCTGGGGGCCATCCCCTCGGCGATCCTTTTTGCTCCTTGGCTGAGCCAGTTTCTCACTTCCTAAGTTCATGAACTGTCAACTTTTTGGGGAAGACCATTTTAGTTGTAAATATAAAGTTTGGACTTTTTTTTTGCCATCCACTCAGCCAGTGAGGTGTTGGCCTTCATGGTTTGGATAGAAATGGATCTCAGTTGCCCATCGTCCGTTTTGGCCTTTCCCTTTGTTGCTTTTAAGCAAGTGCCCCAAAAGGTTAACCTTCTATTTCCAGGTCCTTTTGGGCAAGCGAGGGTTCGTTAAGCTCCTAAGAATGGTTTCACTCGCATTTTGTTTGCCAACAGAGGTGGGCTCTTACCTCAACTCTTTCGCTGGCGGGCCTTGGAAGAATCAAGGGAAGCGGTGATTTCGCTGCAACATCACGCCCAAACTGGCTGATTGGGGGAGGCGGTTTCGACTGAAGATTTCTATATACAGTTATTTTGGTGGTGTTTAGCCGTTTCATTGGTGTTTTTTTGGGTTTCGTGTGGGCTTCCATTAAACCCGCTAGAACTTAAACTTTTAGGAGTAGGGCAAACGCCTGGAGTTTGACCAGCCTGAAAACAATGCCAGGGTTTTCTAAGGGTTTCAGCAAACAAATGCATTTGGAGGCATATGTTCACTCTATTTCACCCAATTCGGTTCCCGCCGCTGAGCGACTCGCGCGCCGAATCACCTACCAAAAGCGAGAGACCGCAGATCTTCAGCGCGCTGTTCTTGCACCAATCTCCGACCTTTCTGCAGATGAAGGGCCGCCCTTTGGCTTCAGTTGAGCCACAATCAAGACCCGGGCAGATGATCCGGTTGGTATGGGACGATCCCAGCAACATAAATAGCTGCGGCCGCCTTCTTAGTTCTTTACATGCTTCTGGGTCGACTGTACCGGGTTTTGATTGTGACTCAGTTCAGCTCGCCTTCGACCTCCGGCGGCCTGTGGTTGTGTTGTGGAAGCTATTTGGGTTCAGAATCAGCGAGCCGAAGCTGGGCAAGGTTTGGGGTTCCATATGGTTCCATCTTGCATATTTCCATCTTTGCCCTTGACTAAAATGATGAGCAGAGCAAGAGGAAATACTTAAATCTTCGGTTTGGGGCCCAAGAAGTTCAAGGACCCCGGTTTTTGGTGCGGGGGAAGCCGGGGAACGCCAAAAGCGGCGCCGCTGGGGTTCCCCTTTCTTGGCACATGGACGCTTTGAACACTGACAGTCGTCCTTTGCAAGATGGCCGCTTTGGCAACATGGGCTGTGTTGTTTTCTTTTTTTCCCCCTCGAAACCTAGCAATCCCCTCCCTCAACAAAAACGGATTCCAAACCAGTGTATGCCACACCTCTTCACCAATGCCGAACCCCAGATAAATCAACCGACTCGGTGAATACATGTGGCGAGCCCCCAAAACGGGATCGTTTTTCCTTCTCAAATGGAGCACCCGCTTCCGGGTTCATTCCTGATAACTCCTTTTCGGCGAGCTTATTTGGGCGTAGAAGGAGCTCATGCAGGTCCTTAGCGAGACCCTCCTTCAGGTCTTGGACCAGTCGAATCTTGCGGGTCAAAACTGACTTGACAATCTCAAAAACGTGATTTTTGTATGTAAGTGATCCAAGTAAAAGTCACACCTTCATTAATCACCCCTCACTCTCAGCGTGCCGCCTAGTGCCGGCCCTTTGGAATGATCGAATGTTCTCCCCACCACGCAGGGAGTTTTGCCTTAGATGGTGCGATGTTTGGATGGGAAATAGAACGACCCTTGGTGGCAAATAAGGTTTGCTTGCCTTCACGTGCAAAATGGCTAACGTGGAAAAGGGGTTCAACCACCGAACACTCATACCCCCAAGTGGGTGCCAGATTGCCCATTTGTTTGATTTTTGCAAAGGACACCAAGAGAGAAGGCTAGGAGTGCCCGTTTACCCTTTTTGGGGGAGGGTTCCCCCTACAAAAATAGACTACAGGAAAAAGGGTACCCGTATCCGAACCTCTCCACTGGAGCACCTAGGAGGTGGTCTTGGCTTTGCCAGGCCTCCCATTTGGCACCATGGTCAGCTGCCAGGTCATGCGGATGCGGTGCAAGTGCTAGAGAGCATGCGCCACGACAACTCTGCGCCAGACATCTCGGTGGACTTCAGGCTGGGACTCGGGTTGCGTGGATTTTTTGGGGCATGGGGCATCCACGGCTGGGAAGCTACGTCGCCCACGTAGCTCTGGACTTTCATGGGCTCCGAGCAAGATTTACCCCCAAAATTGCAGGTGTTCAGCACCAATTCGCCGTTGCTCTGGTGGGTCTCCCACCAAACCAGATGGGGTTCCAATCTATTTTGCTGCCTGCCAACAAGAAGCGTGCCTTTTTTCCCATGACGACTGAGCCTTTATGGCAGGCTACAGCCGCAGAATGCGCCCCAGCTTGGCTTTATCGAGACTTTTTACCGGCAAAGCAAGGCAGGGATCGTGGTCGTAATGTCGTTCTGCAACTCGTTGCTTTTGTCTTGCTGGTGCTCAGTAGGGAATGTGGGAATGAACCCAGGGGTCCCTTGGGGGCAACCACCAGGGATGGCTTGTAGGCATTCCATGTCTCCTTCCCTACTGAACACCAGCAAGTTGTAGTCCTGCATTTTCCCAAGCAAAGCACACAGCTAGGCAACGCCATTCGGTGGGCCCTTGGGCCCTTGACGGGTGCTTGACTGATTTTCTCTAAGGAAGTTCCAGCTGGTTTCTATGAACTATGGCCAAAACTTATGAAGCCACGACCACCGCCCAAATGGGCTGCCAAATAGCAACGCCATAATGGTGGAACTTGATTAGTAAACCAACCCCCCCCCCCGAAGTTCGACAAGGTCTAGGAAAGCCGGATTTTGGGGATCCCCTGTGGCTCCCTCGAACTAATCCGGACCTGGCCAGTCCTCTCCGGTCCTTTCCTGTGTGGACCCCTGTCTTGACAATAGGACTGCAATAGGAAAATAACAGGAAATTGCATTTCTTGTTTTCTCTGATTGAGAATGCCCTTTCCATCCCAAAATTCAGAAAAAGTATTGAAACATGAAATTGAAACTACCAAAGCTATTGCCGATTCTTTTGCCAAACCGAACTCCTTTCATCGTCTCAAGGGTTGCCATTCGGAGGTGCCCCCCTTTTCTTTTTGCCAAACCTTGTGGGCCTTTAAAGTGTCATTGGCTGGCAGTTGGCTGGGATAACCGGGCGTCTTTAATCAGACGGGGGTTCACTAATGACGTTCTACCGTTGCTGTGGATGGACAAAATCCACTTCGCACCAGTTGGGATGGATGCAACCCTACTCGGACAAGCCAGCTAGCAACTGGTGCGAAGCAGACTTTGTCCATCCACAGGGCATGTTTTTCTCTGGAAATCATTGTGGGATGAATAGGTGTTTCTTTTTTCCAGGCACTTAGTTTGAAGTGCATCATTCTGTCTGGGGCGTTTGGTGACCTCATGATCTGCGGGGCAGGCGCGCAGGCGCCCTCCCCAGCCGACTGATGGAACCTGACACGGGTTCCATGTGGGGAGGAATGGCGGTTGCAAGCTGCAAGTTGAACAAGGGGCAAAACTTATGAACACCGAGTGCAAGCAAGCAGCCTACTCTCCTGTCCACGTGGAACCAACCAGAGGGTCCTAGGAAAGTAGACCAAACCACCCCGAAACCTCAGAAACCGTGTTAGTGCACAGAATTGCAACTAGAAACTCGGTGGTTTCCAGCCATCCTCTTAGGTTGTTTTGGGACTTCTGGGTTTAGCAGGGGCTTCCATTAAACCCACTAAAGTTGCACTTTTAGCAGGGGATCAGAAAACGGACAGCCCAGTAAAGCAGAGTCTGAATGATATTTTGAACCCACCGGTGGGTCAGCAGAGCGGTCAGGTGATCATGAGCAACAAGCTCTTGGTGCCAACGCTTGTGACCATGCATCCCGGCAGATTGCGCTACGCTTCAAAAGCAACCAGCTTTCGGGGGCCCAAAAGCCAAGAGAGCCCAAAAGGGAGAAACCCTTCGTTTCCCGCATGTCCCTTCGGGCAACTATTCAGAAGTCCCCGTAATTATTTTCCTGCAGCGAGACCTCACGCCCCATTTGAGGCGAACTTGCGCTTTGAGTCGGGCGATGCCTTGAGCATTGGGAGAGGGGCAAGCGAGTGAGTGGCCCTGGGACCTAAGCCATGGATCATAGGCTGAGGCGACCCCAGAGCTTTGGTGCCGTCAGGTGGGTTTCGGAAGAAAAGCCAAAAGGAAGGCGGGCTTTCTATTCTCTATTTTGACAACCCTAGACCCCCTAGCATTTTCCAAACAACCAACTGCTTACCTTTGAAAAGAGTTATTGTTATTTTTCCTTATTGGTCTTAAAGGGAATCTATCACTACTGTTTTTTCCCCCGGCGGCTAAAGCAAATGGAGGATTGTAGCTGAATGTTTGCAGAAACCAGCCACCAAACGGGCTTCAAATGGCACTGGCAAGTGTACCCATTATGTCGTGTAGGTGCCAAACATGAGAAGGGTCCCCTCAAACTCCGCAGAAATTCAGAAACCGGATCGGCAAGCAAAAAGCTTGGACATTTGCCATTCAACTCAAGGAAGTGAGTAGAGTGGGCAGGCGTGAGCGCTTTGCAGAAAGGGGGTGTCAAAACAATGGCCGGTTCCTTTGTGTACCGTGCCACCGCTACGTGCCGCCTTTTAGACGGGATACCCGACGAAAGCAAGTTTGACCACATCCCCCAGATGAGGTTCACCTGTTTCGAGCTAAATCTCGCGTACTATGGCTGCATCTATGCCTTCCCGCAAGTCTTGTCGGATCTGGTGGCTGAGCAACTCGTCAGAGAATGACATCCCAACCCCC